GTCTAAACAAGCTTCCAAAGAACGTGGCATCCATGAAAGAGAAAAATAAAAGAACAAAAGGACAGTTGAAGTACTGAGGAAGAAATCACTAAGAAATTGTTTAAAAATAATAATAATATGAAGTGATATGAAAAAGTAACAAATAAAGTTTCAAAACATATAATAGAGAACTGAAATGCATAAATATGTCACAATATATATTTATATACTATATATGAGGCCCCTAGAACCATAAAAAATGCAAAAAATTCTCTGTTAATAACTCATTCTCGAATTGCCCCCCTTAAAAATCAAACTGCCCCCCTGTGGGGCGTGTGCCCCAAGTTGGGAACCCCTGTTCTAACCTGAGGAGGGCGGTGCAGCAGGAATGGGGGCTGTTTCAAATGCCTGCAGGGAAGTGGTGCAAAACTATGTCTTTGTCTCCCACAGGAATGTTTGCGGGGTTAACTACGTGTTAGGCTTTAACTGCTGCCAGAAAATGGGAAGCATAGGCCTTTGTCTTTTCCAGGAGGGGAGGCCCAGATTGATTTGAGTACAAAATGGAGGGGAGGTTATAAAAGGGAAATGTAGTTAATATCTAAACTATAACTTTTGATAGAAAAGACTTCCTAATCCTTACATTTAGATATTTTGTAAATGCTCCTTTTTTTAAAAGTTGAGGAAGTTCTCTATTTCTAGTTTTCTGAGAGGTTTTATTATGAATTTATTATTATGAGAGTTGAGATTATGAATTATAATTATGAGAGCTTTATTATAATTGTATTTTGTCAACTGCTTTTTCTGCATCAATTAGATGGTTACGTAATTTTTCTGCTTTAGTCTGTTGATCTGGTGAATCATATTGATTGATTTTTGTATATTGAACCAGCCTTGCATATCTGGAAATCCCATTTAGCCTTGATATATAAATTCTTTTTATACATTGCTTGACATGGTTTACTAATATTTTATTGAGAATTTTTTGTGTCAAATTTCATAAGAGACATTGATTTTTTTTCCTGTTCTTGTACTGTCTTTGTCTCATTTCCATGTCAGAGTATTCCTGACCTAAAAAAAAAAAAATGAGTTAGGAAGTACTCTCTACTCTTCTATTATCTATAGGAGATTGTGTAAAACTGATGCTTCTTCTTTATTAAAGGTTTGTCAAGATACTCCAATAAAATCATAGGGGCCTGGTTATTTCTTTTTCATAATTTTTAAATTAAAATTATTTAATAATTATAGGTATTCATATTATCTATTTCATATTGACTGAGTTTTGATAGCTTATGTTTTTGAGCAATTTACCCTATTTCTTCTAAGTTGTAAATATAGAGTTAGCAATTTTCTTATTAATGGCTGCAGGATCTGTGGTAATATCCTCTGTTTTATCCCTGATACTATGAATTGTACCTTTTTAATAAAATCTTTGTCAGTCTTGCCAGAGCTTTATCAATGTTATTGATTTTATTCAAAGAACCAGCATTTTGTTTTGTTATTTTATTTTTTGTATTTCTATTTTAAATCTAATTGATTGCTGCTTTGATCTTTTATTTTTTTTTAATCCTTGACCAAGGATAGGTTTATTGACAAGAGAGAGAGAGAGAGAGAGAGAGAGAGAGAGAGAGACATCTTTCAAGTGGCTGTCTCCTGTATGTGCCCTGATTGGAGATGGAACTGTTATATTGTAAATCAGCAAGCTAAACAGAGGACACCTTAATCAATCAATCAGTAAGCCGAATTTTGCAGTCTTTATTACACTAGTGGTCTCAGAGGAGTTGTCTCTCAAAGTCTGAGCAAAGTAATATGGAGGCAGCTTTCCCTTTATACTTTCCCAGTTTCCTTGTCCCGCAAATATGGGGTTTCCAGACCCTTTGCAGGCTTTACAAAGAGCCCTATGTATTGGGAGATATTTTGCAGGAAGCTTGTAGCCTTTAACATAGCACAATTCAGTAACTTTGAGTACAACACAATTCAGATAACTAAAAGACACCTGGCATGGGAGCAATCAGGGACAGCAGCAGAGCAGCTTGCAAGGCTAGATAATTGAGCTTATTTTCCCTAATATTCGAGCAAGTGTGTTTACAGAAGCCAAGAATAGCAGTTAATTCACAGACCAAAGGACCATCTATGTTTAGGAAAATTTCAAACAGCAGTTTTTCCCAGCATAGAGTTAAGGGGACAAGATGGAGTGCCTATACTTCAGAACCCATAACTTGGGTATGTGCCCTGACTAGGAATCAAACCCTCACCTTTTGGTGTATGGGATGGTACTCCAACCAACTGAGCCACCAGCCAGAGCTATTATTTCCTTTTTCCTGGTTGCTTGGGGTTTACTTTGCTCTTCTTTTCTAGTGTCTTGAGGTTGGAATTTAGTTTATTGATTTGAGATCTTTTCTCATTTGTAATGTAAGCATTTAGTCCTATAAATTTCCTCTTGGTGCTGCTTTAGCTATATCCTATAGTTTGATATGTTGTTTTCTCATTTTCATTCAGTTCTTTTTTGTGTTTTTTTGTTTGTCCAATTTTCTTTGAGACTTTCTCTATGACCTTTCTATATTTAAATGTGTTTTGTTTGTTTGTGTTTTTAACTAAAACAAAATAGAAACAGACTCATAGATAGAGAACAGACTGGCAGCTCTAAGAGGGGAGGGGGATTGGGTGAAAAAGGAGAAGGGATTAGGTTAAAAAAACACCAACTCATAGATACAAACAAGAGTATGGTGATTACCAGAGGGAAAGGGGTGGGGGAGGTAGAAGAGAGTGGGGGGGAGGAGATACATGGTGATGCAAAGAGACTTGACTTGGGATGGTGAACACACAATACAATATACAGATGATGTATTATAGAATCATACACCTGAAACCTATATAATTTTATTAACCAATATCACCCTAATAAATTCCATAAGAAAAGTAAAATAAAATAAACGAAAGTTTTTTTTAAATTTTTCAAGTGTTTTGGGGATTTTCCTATTGTCTGTATGGTATGTTATTGGTTTCTATTTTCATTCCACTGGCAGAGAACATACTCTATATGACTTTGTTTATTGTGCATCTTGTTGAGTTTTGGTTTATGACCCAGGATATGGAGTGTCTTGGTGCATGGGAAGAATGTGTATACTGCTGCTGTTGTGTGGGGTAGTCTATCAATGTTGATTAGATCCTGTTGCCTTGTGGTGTTCAATTCTTCTACGCTTGTGCTGATTTTTTCCACCAACTGCTGAGAGTGAGTTGTTAAAGTCCCCAATTATAATTGTGGTTTTATCTATTTCTCCTTTCACTTATATCTATTTTTACCTCATGTGAATGGAATTTTTTTTTTTTTTTTTTTTTGGTTTCTTGTAAATAGTACTAGTATGTAGTTGGATCATGCTTTTTAAACCATTTTGCCAATTTCTACTAGCTATAACTTCTCTTAGTTTTTGTTCATCTGAGAATCTTTTTATTTCCTATTCATTCTTAAGAGGTATTTTCATTGGATATAAAATTCATGGTTGATAATTTTTTTTTCTTTCCAGCACAGGGAAAAAAAATGTCACTTCCATTTGATCTCCATGGTTTCAGATGAGAAATCTGCTATTATTCAAGTTGGTATGCCGTTATAGGCAATGTACCATTTTTCTCCTGGCTGCTTTTAAGAGTTTTCCTTTTTCTTTAGATTTTTAATTTTCTTTTTATCTAGACTGTTTGTTGTTGGTTTTTTGTTTGTTTGTTTGAATTTTGCTTGTGATGTATCTTAGTATTGATTTTTTTGCATCTATCATGATTAGGTTTCCTTAATTTCTTGAATTTGTAGGTTTATGTCTTTCACTAAATTTGAGAATTTTTCAGCTAGCATTATTTCTTTGAATATTTTTTCAACCTCACACTCTTTCTGGGACTTAAATGGTGTCAATATTATGTGTTTTGTTATTGATTCATAGATCTCTAAGGTTGGGTTTGTGTATGAGAGAGGATTGTCTGTTTTTCAGATTGGACAATTTTAATTATTTTATTATTTAGTTTATTGATCTTTTTTGTGTCATGTGTATCAAAATTGAGGAATGTCCGTAGAAAATCATTCATTGCAGAAAGCAAGGTGCTATATTATATGTAATATGGTATCATTTATGTAAAATTAAAAGAAAAACAACTGGACTTAGGAGTATATGGGTATTAAGTTTCTGAGAGCAAGGGGAATGGGAGGAAGGGCACACCTGAGAATGCTAACCAAGTCCACCTCCTCAGTTAGGCGCTCAGGGGGTTGAGAGAAAATCATTAACTCTTGTAATGCTCTCTATATTGTTTAATTATATTAAGAATGTTTTTTATATTTTTTTATTGACTTCAGACAGGAAGGGAAAGGGAAAGAGAGATAGAAACATCAATGATGAGAGAGAATCACTGATCAGCTGCCTCCTGCACGCCCCACACTGGGGATTGAGCCTGCAACCTAGGCATGTGCCCTGACCAGGAATCGAGTCGTGACCTCCCAGTTCATAGGTCAACGCTCAACCACTGAGCCACTCCAGCCGGGTATATTAAGAATGTTTTACTGTTATAATATCAAAAGCTAAAGACAAAGAAAACAATGGCCTGGACATGAATTCCAGGTCTGCATCTTAAAACCTAATAGGTTTTTCAACTTCTCCAAACCTTTCTCCTTGTTTATAAAGTGGGAACAATGCTTCTCCTCTCTGGGTTTTAAACAAACACATCGATGTACTAATTCATCTGATAAATATCTTCCGAGAGCCCCGTGTGGCCAGGCGCTGTGCCACCAGTTTAAGGACCATCCTCTTCCAGCTATGATACGTGGCACAGGGGGTTGTTCACTTGTCCATAGAAATGAATGAGCCACAATGGCACTTCCTGTGCTGGGGCAAGAGGGAGGGTTTGAGGGTAGTAGGCCTTTGGTGTCCTCTCCACTCAACTTTACCGGGAGCCCTCTGCTGGCTCACACAGAGGGGATTCCGGCCGCCATGGGGCCCCTGCTCCCCACCCTTGACAGTAGCCACCTTCCCCCTGGGTTGTTTCAGATCCAAAGCCCAACAAGAGAAATGGGGTGAAGTGCTTCATGGTCGCGGTCATCACCTGCCTGATTTTGCTCTCCGCGGGCACCGGGCTGCTGGTGATGAAAGGTAAAGCAGGCTTGGTCCCATCTGGTCCCTCTGGGAGTGACCGAACACGGCCCTGACCCACAGAGCTACAGCTGAGTGCAGAGCCCTGGGGCCGCTGCTGCCCCTCCTGGAGGTGGAAGGGGGAAGTGTGTGTTGTGTTGCACATGTGGGTGTGGGTGTGCGTGTGTGTGTGAGAGAGAGAACGCACACGGGAGCCTGTGTGTGTCCAAAGCAGTGAAAGGTGCAATGCTCTCACACGGTGTGCCGTGAGCACCTGGCATCTAGGTTCCAGCCTCTGAGTGGGAAGGGGCTTTGCTGATCAGTGTGCGTTTCAATGTGACTTGACTTTCAAAGTGTTCCAGTCCCAATGTGAAGTTCATGAAGCAACTCCACCAGCAGACACTGAAGTCACGCAGGAACAGCATGTGCCCAGATGTCATGAACACATGTCACATGCACATTCAGGTCGCACATGAATAAGTCAGACCAGCACAGTAGTTGTCATGCATTCACGCCCAGAGCAGGCACGTGACACTGTGGGTATGTGAGTGTGAACATGTAATGTCATGCCTGAGTGGACCGAGCACACATGTGCAAGGTATAGCTAAAGCTCTGTGCCCACACGGTCCCCACAGCATAGGACATGTGTTTGTCTTCACAGGAGTTATGCACCTGCATGTGTATTGAGAGAAAATCATTAAATCTTGTAATGCTCTCTATATTGTTTAATTATATTAAGAATGTTTTTATATTTTTTTATTGATTTCAGACAGGAAGGGAAAGGGAGAGAGAGAGATAGAAACATCAACAATGAGAGAGAATCACTGATCAGCTGCCTCCTGCACACCCCACACTGGGGATTGAGCCTGCAAGTAATACACATGACACAAGGGCCCACAGGAGTTATGCACTTGCAACAGAAGCCTGTCAGGAGTGGGATCAAATGCCTAAATGCCTCGGGCTTTAATGAGGTCATAAAAGAATGCCGTGGGGCGGGTGGGTGTCTAGTTCTGAATCTACAGGAGCAGCTCAGGGCCCTGGAGATTCCCTTTGACAACGAAACACTGGTCGCTGAGGACAGCCCATCCTTCGGCTCACTCTGGTCGCACAGCCCTTCGCCGCCTGCAGGGGCTCTGAGGCTGCAGGTGCTGCAGGCCCAGCTCAGCCAGGTCCGCGCCCAGCAGGAGCACCTGCTGCAGCAGGTGGACAACTTCACTCGGAGCCCAGGTTTGCCCCTCCCCTCCGGATTGGGACTCCTCAGAGGAGGACGAGAGTAGGAGCTTCTAGTTCATGGGCTTTTCCCAAGGGGGTCTTTGGGCCTGAATTTTCTTCCCTGGCAAGGGGTCTTCCCAACCCCTGGCCTGGTATGGAACCCTGGGGTTAGAGACATGGGTGAGAGCCATATGAGAGGGACATGAAGCCGCAGGTCCCATGGGCTGCAGGCAGGGTGGTGGGAGAGTGGGGCCAGCAACATAGGAGCCACAAACCTGCCCAAGCAGAGTGTGACCTTAGGAGCCAGCGCCTGGAGCAACCAGCCACAGGCCGAGTCTGAGTCACAAAGCCGTCAGCCTGATCCAGAATGTTTATGAGGTTGGGTAAGACACAGAAGCTTGGGTACCTCCCGGGACCCCATCCATCCATACAAGGAATATTGGCCCATGGCTGGCAGGAAGTCCTGGTGCACACCAGGCCAGTGCAGGCGGTGGGGGGACCATGGAGGGGCAAGGACAGCTGGGCCTGCAGGGAAGACAGGCCAGCTTAGCAGGTAGGGCTACAGGCAGGAGGAAATGGAGCCAAAGGGGTTCCCTTTCCCCTTGACCCCTTCTCTCAGGCTGTCCTAGAGTGGGCAGGGCTAATCCAGGCACATCCAGCTTCTAGGTGCGACCTGGCTGCCTCAGGGCTGGCACTGTTACCTGGAGCCGGGGCCTTGCTCTGACCGGTGTCTGGGTGTGCTGGGGTCTAGGAGGCGAGCCTCTGCCAGGGGCTGTGCCCACGGACCACGTGCCGGACACAGGACCCAGGGGGGGCAGGACCGTGAGAGGCTGCTGCTTCTCCAGTGAGCAGAGATGAGAGCCCAATGGGGACGCGAGGGGAGGGGACAGTGGGGCAGACGGAGCCCTGGGGATGCTAGGGGAGGGGACAGTGGGGCAGACGGAGCCCAGTGAGGACACGAGGGGAGGGGACTGTGGGGCAGAAGGAGCTCAGTGGGGACACAAGGGGAGGGGACAATGGGGCAGATGGAGCCCTGAGGACTCAAGGGGGGGACAGTGGCAGAGGAGCAGAGCCCAGGCTCTGGTGCTCAGACACAAGAGGGTCCCTCTGCCCCTTGGGAGGTGAAGGACTAGTTCTGATCGTACAAAGGCCCTTCCTTTAACCTGAGGCACTTGCCCGGCTGGTTTGGCTTCATGGTCTTCTGATGACGTGGGGTGCTCTTCAGGGTCCCGCACTCTGGGGCTCCCAGGAACCTCAGGATCTCCTGTGTAGACCAACGAGACACCCGGCCCTTCGTAAGGACTCGTCCTGAAGGATGCTGGGCTCGGCTCCTGTGGCCCAGTGCCCACCCCGCAGGGCTGCGTGCCCAGAGGGTGCTCTGGCTGTGCCACAGCTCTGGCTGCAACCCTCTCTCCTTCCCTCGCAGAGCTCTTCAGGACCAAAGGTGAACGCGGCGCTCCAGGTGGGTTCATTTCCACTCCGACCCCCTGCCCTCCCACAGCCTTCTCCCCTGGCCCCGTGGCCGGTGCCTTTCTGGGCCTCCGCACCTGACCCCAACTTACCTTCCCTGGGTCCCCACCGCCTCTCCACCAACCCCTGGTTCAATGGGAAATGGGTCCCCACCAAGCATCACTCCAAATCCAGCCCGTCTAAGACAGCCCCGTGCATCCCTCAGCGGGCCTCTCCCCCAGGACCCCAGCTCCAGCAGGTCACCTCCTTCGTCTCCCATCGCTGCTCTTTCCAGGGCCTATCACCTGGCTCTTAGCACTCAGCGCGCCTCCGGCTGTGGCCACCGTGATGAGGGGAGGCAGCCTGTGGGTCAGGCTGGCCTGCCTGGGCCCTAGGTCTACTACCTGCATGACCTTAAGCCAGTTACTCATTTTTCTGGACCCCTGGCTGCTCTCCTGGGTAGAAAATAATGGAGATAAATGTGCTCCCTCGCAGGGTTGCTGTAAGATTCAAGGGAGGTGGCATGAAAAATGCCTGACAGTAACGGTGCTCTCTGAGGATGAAGCCAGGGCTTAGCTGCCTGTGCTTCCTACCTCAGCACACACAGTTACACACACACACACACACAGTTACACACACACACACAAACACACACAGTTACACACACATACATACACATACACACACAGTTACACACACAAACACACACAGTTACACACACACACAGTTACACACACAGTTACACACACAAACACACACAGTCACACACACATACACACACAAACACACACAGTTACACACACATACACACAGTTACACGCATATACACACAGCTACACACAGACATACACAGTTACACACAGAGACATACACAGTTACACACACATACACACAGACATGCACACACACATACACAAACACACATACACACAGTTACACACACGTGCATACATAAACACACATACACACACACACACACACACAGTCCAGTGGCTGAGTGGTAGAAATTTAATCTTGAAAATAAACGTACACAATGTTGTCAGGCAGAACTCTTTGTGGCCCCATCCCACCACTGACGGGGGGGAGGGGTGGCAGGGGGGGGGGAGAGTGCTGAGTCAGCCTTGCAAGTGGCAGCAGCCTGGGCTTGGACGACGGGCCTCTCAGGAGCTGGGTGGCCTTGAACGTGTTGCTGCCCGCTCCGAGCTCTGCGTCCCTCCCTGGAGATGGAATAAGGATGGGGCCTCTGGACTGGCGGCAGGTACAGGATGGGGCCTCTGGACTGGCGTCAGGTACAGGACGGGGCCTCTGGACTGGCGTCAGGTACAGGACGGGGCCTCTGGACTGGCGTCAGGTACAGGACGGGGCCTCTGGACTGGCGTCAGGTACAGGACGGGGCCTCTGGACTGGCGTCAGGTACAGGACGGGGCCTCTGGACTGGCGTCAGGTACAGGACGGGGCCTCTGGACTGGCGTCAGGTACAGGACGGGGCCTCTGGACTGGCGTCAGGTACAGGACGGGGCCTCTGGACTGGCGTCAGGTACAGGACGGGGCCTCTGGACTGGCGTCAGGTACAGGACGGGGCCTCTGGACTGGCGTCAGGTACAGGACGGGGCCTCTGGACTGGCGTCAGGTACAGGACGGGGCCTCTGGACTGGCGTCAGGTACAGGACGGGGCCTCTGGACTGGCGTCAGGTACAGGACGGGGCCTCTGGACTGGCGTCAGGTACAGGACGGGGCCTCTGGACTGGCGTCAGGTACAGGACGGGGCCTCTGGACTGGCGTCAGGTACAGGACGGGGCCTCTGGACTGGCGTCAGGTACAGGACGGGGCCTCTGGACTGGCGTCAGGTACAGGACGGGGCCTCTGGACTGGCGTCAGGTACAGGACGGGGCCTCTGGACTGGCGTCAGGTACAGGACGGGGCCTCTGGACTGGCGTCAGGTACAGGACGGGGCCTCTGGACTGGCGTCAGGTACAGGACGGGGCCTCTGGACTGGCGTCAGGTACAGGACGGGGCCTCTGGACTGGCGTCAGGTACAGGACGGGGCCTCTGGACTGGCGTCAGGTACAGGACGGGGCCTCTGGACTGGCGTCAGGTACAGGACGGGGCCTCTGGACTGGCGTCAGGTACAGGACGGGGCCTCTGGACTGGCGTCAGGTACAGGACGGGGCCTCTGGACTGGCGTCAGGTACAGGACGGGGCCTCTGGACTGGCGTCAGGTACAGGACGGGGCCTCTGGACTGGCGTCAGGTACAGGACGGGGCCTCTGGACTGGCGTCAGGTACAGGACGGGGCCTCTGGACTGGCGTCAGGTACAGGACGGGGCCTCTGGACTGGCGTCAGGTACAGGACGGGGCCTCTGGACTGGCGTCAGGTACAGGACGGGGCCTCCGGACTGGAGTCAGGGACAGGATGGGGCCTCTGGACTGGCGTCAGGTACAGGATGAAGGGAACAGTGCTCAGCCCGGTGCCCAGCTCCGAGTAAGCACTCGCTGGTGTTGTTGTTACATTTGCTTCATTGTTGCTGCTGTTGAGAGGGTTCAATGTGCTCACGCTCAGACGCTCAGACGCCCCAGCCGCCCTAGCCGGATGAATGGGGCTCCTCTGCTCTAGGGAGAGGCTGTTCCAAACTCCAGTCACTTTGCTGACAGAATCGATGCTTAAACTTCTTCAACCCAGTGGGTTTGGCCGGCCCTTTAAAATCTGCTCCATCACGGGCCCCAGGCATGGAGCCCACCTTCCCCACAGCAGGGTGCGGACAGGCTCCCTCTGCCCCCCCCCCCAAATATATATGTTGATGATCTCTACTGCTATGTCTCAGTGTCTCTCAGTCTCTGACAACTTCCATCTCTGTCTTTCTCTCTCTCTTCCCACTCTCTCTTTGGAGCCAGAAACCAGAGGCAGGAAACAGCAATTGCAGTAGCATGAGCTGCAGGTCTGGGCCCCCTCTCACGCCCACCTGCCTTCCCAGGTCCTCCACCCCCTTGACTCCCCCCAGCCCCCTGGGAGGCTGTGGCCTCTCCCCTCCCCCATGGCCTGGGCAGGGCTCCCCCAAGGCGCATCCTGCTAGAAAGCCCTATGGAGACCAATAGGCTGGCCAGAGAGGATGGGGGTGGGGGGGGGTGCAGTGCTAGGACGTTGGGGCTTGCCGCCCCCTGCCTCCCAGGTGGCCTGCTTATGAAGCTGCACGCTGGCCCAGGCTTCTGAAAACACGGCCCAGGAAGGTGGGGGAGGGGCAACTGCACCTAAGTCAGGCTCTGGGGAAGGTAGTGTGGAACCCAGCTGTGCCTCAGTTTCCCTCCTTTGTATCTTTCCTCCCAACAAGTCATTACTGAAAGCCCCTAAGGCCCAGGCACCGCCCTGCAGTGGGAGCCTGGACATAAGAAGACGACAGAGCCCTGTCTGCAGGGACCTTCCCAGTCAGGCAGGGATCAACTTGGAACCTGTTCTGACAGCAGCCCTGGCTCCTGCCCTGAAAGGAGGACGGTGCCCTGGGTGCAAAGAGCAGGGAGGGGACTCACCTCCCCAGCGCCAGGCCAGGCTCCCGAGCCGCCTCTCAGCTGAGACGAGGGTGAGGGAAGGCGCAGGGAAGCAGGGCCCAGGCAGAAGGAATCCGAGTGCAAGGCCCTGCGTTGGAAGGGCGTTTGGTAGGTCAGGAACTCGAGTGCCTGCAGTGCAAGAGCAGGAGAAATATGGGCGAGAGGGGTGGGGAGTGGCGGGGACTATGCAGACTCGGGGTGGTGGGCCCCTGGTTAAGTGAAGGCACATTTTGTCTGTGCTTTGCTGATCCTCACGTTAACCCCGAGAGGCTGTTGCTGTCATCCCCACGTCACAGAAGAGGGCAGTGAGGCTCAGAGGTATGATAAGAATTCTAGACATGAGTTAAGGTACACAGAGGATGCGTGCAGGTTATATGCAAATACTTCGCCACTTCATAGAAGGGACTTGAGCATCCATGGGTGTTAGTACCCACGGGGGCCCTGGAACCAGTCCCCCTTGGATGCCAAGTTCCCCACCGTGGCGCCCTGGCCTGGGCGCAGGCGTTGCATTAGGAGATCCCAAATCTGCTGGCCTCTTTCCAAATGTGTCACCTCAGGCAACCCCTGTGCCTCTCGGAAAGTCATTCTTCCCTGTGGGGATGTGGGGCTGTGCCATGGCCTGAATGTCTGTGCCCCCTGCCCCCAAATGCATATATTGAAAGTCTAATGCCCAAGGTGTTGGTATTAGGAGGCGGGGCCTGTGGAAGGGGATTGGGGCACAAGAATGGAGCCCGGATGAGTGGGACTAGCGCTCTTATAAAAGGAACAAGCACCCTAGTTCCTCCCACCACCGGGGACACAGCAAGGTCAGCTGCCTGCAGCCTGCAGGGCCTCACCGGGCCTGGCCGTGCCTGCACCCAGGTCTTCCCCTCCAGAGCCCAGAACTTTGAGAAATGGATCTGTTGTTTCTGAGCTGCCAGTCTGCATGTTTTGTTACAGCAGCCAGAACAGACTGAGGCAGGACAGGAGCCCTGCCCGTCCTGCCCACTAGCCGTGGTGGGACTGGAGTCGCGTAGCAGGGCGGCCGTTGGAGAGAGAGCTGCATGCGAGTGCAGCAGTGATGGGGGCCCCATACCCCGACCTGCCGTGTGTTCCCTGTGGCCGCCATGTGACCACCGTGGGGCAGCCCTGTGGAGCTGGTATATCAATACCAATTTACTGACCAGGAAGGGGAGGCTCGAAACCACGGGTGACTGGCACGAGGTCCCCCTGCTGCTGCGGGGCCCCCGTGTCCGGCTCAGAGCCCGAGGGATGCCCCCTGCATAGCTGCGCCTTGCCCGCCAGGCCATGGTCCCCTTGCGGGAAGGAGCGCTGTGATGTTTGCTTCCTTCCGCACCGTTGGGCTGGTCCCGGGCGCTCAGTGAGTGTGTTCAATGAGCAATGGCACTGAGTGGCACTGGACACCCACCTTGTCGGCTGGCTCATTGGTGTCTCTGCTCCTTTTCCTCAGGTCTTCCAGGTGCCAAGGGCCTGGCATTCACGGCTGAGAAGGGGCCAGGGGGCCAGGGGTTCAGTGGAGCCACTGATACCCGCCCCTTGTCTCCTGGCCCGTAGTCCTCTTTCTCCTCCTTGTCCCTGTGACACGCTGAATGCCTTTTCCTTTCCAGGCCCCCCAGGACCCCGAGGCCTGCCAGGAATCAAGGGAGAGGCGGGTAAGGAGGGGCCCGTGTGTGTGCCGGCACCCACAGCAGGCTCCCAGGCCAACACTCGGCAGGCCCTGCGTGTGCCGGAGGCCAGCGCCGTGGGGCACCCTGGGTGGACCGGGAGTGCTGAGAAGCTCCCTGTGTTGTGGGGGTGTAGGGGGAGTGGGGGGCTCTAGATGAGGCTGGAACTGGTGGACGCTCCAACCTCCTCCTCAGGGCTCAGGCGTCCAAGCCTCTGAGCATCACTGGGGAGTCAAGCTCAGTGGTGTAGCAGGGACTCCAGGGCCAGACACATCTGCCTGCAACATGCACTATCTGTGGTGCTGGGAACATTCTCTTACCTTTCTGAACCTCAGTTTCTTTGTCTGTAAAATGGGGATACATGTGCTTCAGAGGGTCACTGGGGGATTAGCAGTAATGATGAAAAGCCCACGATTGTTTCTCTCTTGTAGGCTATAGCCTAAACCTGCCCAGCACCTCACAGATGACCATGGCATGGCTGGGGCAGAGAATGTGGGGAGCTCAGCTGCACCCCTCCCAGGGAAGGGGGCAGACTGAAATGTCAGAGCCCATGACCCTTACAGCCCAGTCCGCTCTCCACTCAGACTCTCCAACCTCCCGAACCCTGGAGGGGCGGAGGCTGCTGGGATGTAGAGAGGATAAGACGTTATTAGAGAAGGGGCTGAGAGGGAGGGTTGCCTGCAAGGGCAAGTTCACAAACCAACAGTCACTAGGCCTCTGAGGCAGGAAGAAACACCAGCAGTTATGGGAGGGAAATTTGTTCGCAAATAAAATCTTTTTGGAAGAACTAGAGAGAGGAATTTAATAGGATCCCAAAGAGTCTCCCGTTCTGCGTTTGCAGCAGGGGTTTTCCAGGGAGGGTTTCAGGGGGGAGGGTGGGCAAACAATGGGAGGAACTGAGGTGCAGTGAAGAACTTGAGCAGGCGCTGGCACACCACTTGCCCACACAGGCACACACATGTGCTCACACAGGCATGCACGTGTGCCTCTGTGTGTGCATGTGAAGAGGAGACACGGAGACAGAGAGAGAAAGAGCCTCCTGCGGGCGCCTGGCCCAAGGCAGGGCCCGAATGCCTGCTGACTGAAGACCCCAGGCCACAGAGTGACTGAGCGCTTCCTCCTCTCTCCCAGGCCTCCAAGGACCGCAGGGTGCTCCAGGGAAGCCGGGAGCTGCTGGTAACGTGCGCTTTCTCTGCTTGGAATCAGTGATGCCTGGGCCCAGGCACCCGTCCCTTGTCCCCCTCCCCTCGGCTCCTCCCCAGCCCCAGAGCATTGGCGCCCTCCCACTGCCCTCTTCTCCTGAGTCCTGCTGGGCCACTGTGAGATGACCCACGAGATGAGCTAACACACCCAGACTCCCTCTAGGGACGCCCTTCTCTTCCCCCCAGCATGCCTCCTACCCACCGCCCAGGAGCCCACACCCAGGGGGATGCTGGGAGCCCACCTCACCGGCCATTCCCTCCGCAGGCACTCCAGGACAGAAGGGCAGCAAAGGCGATGGGGGTCTCATTGGCCCGAAAGGGGACACTGGTGCGAGGGGAGACAAAGGAGACCCTGGCCTCCCAGGTAAGGGCCTTGCTGGGTGTGGGTGCCTGTGGGGCTGGGCCCCACTCTATGCAACCATGTCTGCTCAGCGCCTACTGAGGGTGGGGCTGTGCTCTGCCGGCCAGCATCCTGGGATCGGAGATGTGGTAGCTGTCATCCAGATGAGCCAAGGGCAGGAATGTGACATGAGAGCAATGTGAAGGGGCAACATGTCACCCCGGGTGGCACCTGGGGACAGGGCAGCTAGGAAGTCACAGGAAAAGAAAGTGAGGCGCCAAAGTCGGTCCTGAGGTGGGCGTAGGGGAGGCGGGAGCCTGGGGGCAGAGGGCAAGGGCTGCCTCCTTGCCCAGTGCCGGCAGATGCTCTCTCTGGAGCAGTGCTCTCAGGACCATGGGGAAGAATTACCGGGGGCTTGTTCAAAACGCAGGCTGGCTGAGCCGCCTGCCGTAGGGAGCCTGGAGGTCGAGGGGCCGGGACTGGGAGCCCTGCCCTGGGGCTCTTGCCGTGACTGAGCCCCTTCGTGCTCCTTGTCACTTGGCCTCTTTTATGGCCCCTCAGGTGGCTCTGGAGTGCAACAGGGGAACAAGGGCTGCAGGGCTAGCGGCCTGGCTGCCGTCGCTGCTCTGGCCTGTCCATCTGTGTGACTAGGCACCTGCTGAGATATGCCTTGGGGAAGAGAGCCCTTGGCAGGGCCGCCAGCCACCCTCAGATCTTCGGAAGGCACTTGTGGAAGAGAAAAGAGACTCGCTCTAGTGGTGCCCAGCAGAACAAAGACCAATGGGCAAAGGTTTCAGGAGAAGCAATTGTGCCGGGTGAGGGAGAAAGAGGCAGGTACGGCTTGAGGCTGCCCCCTGGTGAACTGAACAGACGAAGGCTTAGGGAACAGCCACTGCTGGGACGGGAAAAGGAGGTGCAGAATTCTCCCAGGTGGGACTACAGCGGGTCCTTGCACCAGGCGGGTGGTGGACAGTTGACCTCTAAGGTTGGTTCCCAAGGTGACACTCTGAGTTCTCTTTGCAATAGGAAAGGGAGGCCCAAACTGTTCTCAAGGTGGCGCTGCCGGACCCAGAGAGGGGGCAGCAGCCAGGCCTGTGTGCTCCAGGCCTTTCCCAAGGAGTCTGAGCATCCGGTTTCCCACCCCACTCACCACTGCCCCACAGGAGGACATCGTGTCCACACCCCGGCGCAGCCTGGGAACACTGTGGTTAGCGAGGGGAAACGCGGCAGTTTCAGTTCTTCGGAAACCAGACTCCGGCCTTCCCCTCCTCTGCCCCGATCTCCCAGGACCACAAGCCCTCCTACCCACTGCTGGCTCCACCGGGGGACAGGGCTAGCCTGCCACGTGCGACCTGCCCTGGTGGTACTGAGCTTTGTCCTAGCAGACGGTGGTGAAGTTCCAGGGCACACACTCCATCCTTAGCTGTGACTGGGAAGGTCTGGGGTCAGGCCCAGCTGTAATTGCTCAGCTGGCGCCTGGTCTTTTCCCCGATGCTGCTCTGCTTCTAGGGTTGTCCCCTCTGATGGAGACACAGAAGTCATCCACCGCAGGCCCAGGCCCAGGCCACGCCCAGAAACCCCATGCAGCCCCACTGTGGTCACAGCGTGGTGGTCCTGGCTGGCCCAGAGCCGTGAGGCCCTAACCAGTTCCTCCAGGGAAATCATTTCTAGTCTCTCCTAACGAGTGCCATTTGGCCCTTGTGCCCGGTGAGCACTCCGAATGACCAAGAGCTGCCTTCTTGCTGGTTGCATCAAGGCTGCTATAAAGACGTCAACTCTCACCAAGCTCTTCACGTTCGTTTTGTCTTCCATGGAGAAATAATCATTCTTTAAGTACCCAGAGCATCTCCAAGAATCTGTTTTTCCGGCCTTGTCCCTAGCATCACTCAAAGCTTATCCGAGATAGGTTGGTACAAGCTGCGTCTCTCCTCCTCTTCAGTAGGGAGAAAGCATCTGCCTCCTGGGCCCCCTCTGGCTCTGATATCATAATGAACGGTATGGGGGCTTTTCACCGATTCCATCTCCACAGGCCAGCCCCAGGGCCCGAGGGAGTTGCTCGGCTGGGTCGTTGCTGATGGTGGGACTTCAGCAGCAACACCAGCCAGCCCGTGGGTTCCTGATGAGCCGGCCCACGTGGTGCACTGGCAAGGGCCATGCAGCCCGCTCCCAAACCCGACTCGCCGTGTGGGGAGGGGTTGATGGATCCTGCCCTGTGAGGAGCTGCCCTCAATTGATATGCACCAAGCACTGGCAGGAAAGAGGAGGGAGCCAAGGAGGATCGAGGAGTGGACCGGCTGGGACAAGCCTTGAATGCTGATGACAAGTGGAAAATTTGAAACCTTGGGCACAAGGAAAGCCAGTGGCGGAAGCGCTGGCAGGAAAACGAGCTGCTGCAATGTTTTCCTCTCCATCGATGCTTCACAGTTTTGATGCTCAGCATTTGGGGCCTGCCTTCTGGAATATTCAGATTTCAGTTTGGGAGGCTTGAAAAAATAATTCCGCACGTGAGCCCGGCAGCATGAGTGGAGCCTGGGCCGTGGTCCCTCCCAAGAAGATCTGAGCGCTGATCTGGGACCATAGAGCCAGACCTTCCACTGCCCATCAGCCAGGCCAGGTCGTCTCGTCCATTTCTGATGAGTTTATGGCTGTCTCTGGGGCGCCCGCCATGTCTTTGAGGGGGACAAGATAAGTGGGACCTGGTGTCAGTGGGACCTGGCGCCCAGGCTCGCCCTCCTCCCAGGCCTGACGCTGACTCTTCGTTTTTTCAGGAAGCAAGGGGAGCATGGGCGTGAAAGGAGACATGGGGGTCATGGGGCCCCCCGGAGCCCAGGGCAGTAAAGGGGATGCTGGGAAGCCAGGCCCTCCAGGTAAGAGGCTGCATGGTCAGGTCCACTGGCTTCTACATATTAATTTTTTTTTTTTCCTGGAAGGCTGAGTGACAAGAAAAAAAATCTCTAAAAATTCTTAATTGTAGGTGTGGCTGGAATTCCTGGAATCAAAGGAGATCAAGGTAAGAACTGTAGGAATGTGGGCACCATGCCAGCTCCCACTGTCCCTGGGCCAAGTCAAGTGCAGGGCCTGCCTCCAGTACCGTATTCCACTGTGGTATTAATGCAGAGCATCTGCTTCTAAAACCGGCCCCTCCCCAGAGAGCAAGGCAGCCGCTTCACTGATGCTCCTCTTTAGAGCTCACCCTCTGCCACCAGGGCGGGGCTGGACCTTCCGGCCCAGCTTCTTAGTAAGTCCCCAAGCTGAGACTCTAATCCCCTCACTGCGAGGGCTGCCTCTTGGCTTCCAGGGAACATATTAGGTGTTAGGACATCCACGTGTCACTGCTGAGAACAGAGGTGTGTGGAGGGGACGGCAGCCAGGCCCTCTGCCAGCCACCCAGCCGTGTAATCATGACTTAACTTTCAGGACCAACTGGAGCAGAGGGTCCTCGAGGCCCTCCGGGTGCGGCAGGATCTCCAGGTCCCAAGGGTCAGCCTGGCAGTGCTGGCGCCACTGGGCTAACAGGTGAGGTCTCTTCCGGTGGTGGGCGTGGGGAGTGATGGCTGAAGGTCCATCTACCCAGCTCTTACGCTCACCATGACGTCTGTTGTCCAGGACCACCAGGGAGACCAGGGAGTCCAGGACCTGACGGCATGAAAGGAAGCAAGGGAGACACAGGTGACAGAGGGTGTGGGTAGGCGGGCAGGCGGGGGTGGATGGGACGGAGGACTGGCTCCCTGCGGGCCTACCAGCAGGAGGCAGAGCTCCTCCTGTACGCTGCTCCATGAAGGTCCTAGGGCTGTTCTTCCTCTGCCCAGGGTTCCTTAAAGGCCTCAAATGCCACGACCAAACCTCTAATGTCCCCCTGTTCTGCCTTCCAACTGTGGGCATGGTTTCCACTCTCTCCTGCTGACCTGAGTGGGGCCCCAAGGGTCAGGGATCGAGCATGGGGGTGTCAAGAAACCCCTCCTTGCATATTCTCCCAGGGTTCTCAGGCCGGGAAGGCAGCCCACAGCAACTGAACTCACAGGGGCTACTTTCTAAGCCACTGTGCCACCTTAGCTACGTTATAGACTGTCATGTCGATTTAGTCTGTGTTATAAGCATCGTGCCAACTTGGTCTAGCTTACAAACCATCACAGCAATGCGGCCTGGTTTATACACCACTAAACCAGTTTTACCTCGTCACTACCCAAGTCTGGACACCTGCAATGGTCTAGAAAGTTGGGGCCACCATGTTGGGTGCTGGGTCCCCATAGAACATAAGACCTGGCTCCTGCCCTCAGACATATGGGTTAGTACAGACTTGCTATACTGTGTCGGGCACACTTTGAAGTGGACATTTGCATGGAAAATAGTCACATGCCATTTAGAAAGCTGGGTGCAGGCCAGGCGGTGCGGTAGCATGTGGGGCTGTGAGAAAGGGCTGCGTGTCTGCCAAGGATGTCTGTGGGCAGCCTGCTGCAGTCCCCTCCTCTGCCAGGTTCTGCTGGTGTTGGCAAACCTAGATGCCCTCACCCCAGGGCCACGCTAGGGACCCACACCAGAGGCAGGACCTCTCAGTTTTCATTGAGCAAGTGGTTGACTGGTTAATTCCTTAAACAAATGTGACTTAACCCTGTTAAATGCTTCAGGCTAGCAGTGGCTGGGGTCTGGTGGGGGTGGTGAACGGCAGTCCAGTGCAGGGGCGATGTGAGAGCATGAGCTGAGTCTTGGAGGATGAGTGGCGCTCAGACATGTGCAGGAGGGGAAGGGAAGCCTAGCAAGAGGACACAGAGCTGGTGAGTCATGGAGGAGGGAGGGCTCTGTAGGGTGTATCCCTGGCACCTGGTTGGTGTCTTGGGTTGGGATGGGGAGCTCTGGTCCAAGGGACAGGTGAGGCCAGCTCCTGGTCAGCTTTGGACTTTGGGCCTTTGACATCTGGGGCTTCTACTGGAGGTTATCGGGAGCCATGGCACAGGCAGCTCCTACACCCACCCTTCTCAAAGCCTTGGAGCTGCTTTCTTTCTCATGGACTGTGTGTCAGTACAGGAGGGGCTCTGCTACCCGAGGCCACCTGAGGCCACCAGCAAGGTCTCACCGTCCAGAAAGACTCTGTCTGGGTGCAGCTCCCCTTTCTGATCCTATACCTCACCTTTTCCTGAAGGTTTTAGGATGTCTGACTTTGGCACCTGAAGCTGTCTTCCCTCTAAGTTTTCTGCTTGGCTTCATGGGGATGATGGCTTTCCTCCCTCAGTTATAAACAGAGAGCATCCCTTCACCTCCATCCCCTCCTTGCCTTGCTAGACTAAGCAAGAATATTTGTGCTAAAACATGATTTTACCCAAAGGGGTGCTGTGCCCACTGTCTGAGAGCAGGAACCTTGCCCTGCACCCTGTGTCCTGGAACATTTACCATGAGCACGCTCAGGACAGCCCAATGAGCTAAGCACTCTTGTGAGGGCTGTTTCACAGTAAGAGAGGCAGCCTGCCTGCCCCAAAGCTGGGGCTTTATCCATTACACTTTGTCATACCATCTCCCTCCCCAGGTAGCCGAATGTGCCCCTCGTCCCCATCAGCGCACTCTGATGAGTGACACTTACCCTCCATCCCAGTCCAAAGGGATGAGAGCAAAAGCTGCAGCAGCCTCTTGCACTCTTAGAAGGAAACCTAAAGCTCTCAGGCCCTGTTTTGGCTCTTTCTCATTCACCCACAACCCCATCCCCCTTTAGCACAGTCTGGGACCATTTTCACTTCATTGTCAAGTCCTTGTCTATTCATCGGGCACCCTTCCAGGGACCTCCATCCATCAGACTTAGTGGTAAATACCAACCAGGCAAATTCCAGCTGCCCAAGTAAACATGGAGAATGACAGTTTCATTTTGAGACATGTGGTAATTACAGCTTATGTAAACTTGCATAGATTTCCCAAACAAATCCCAATGATTGCCTTGAACAAGTAGCTGATGGTCCACATGGACATCTCAGAAGGGAATTCCATGGATAGGACCGTATCTGGCCCATCAGAGCCAGGTCTAGAGATCATCCTAAAGGGAAAGGTTAATGGGCTTTGGGAGAGGTTAGCTTTCTGAAGCGGGAGAAGGAAGGATGGGTGGAGAGTGGTGGCCAGATCTCATCAGGGAAGATAATGCAGACTTTTCAATGTCAGGACATCGGTATTCCCCAAATAAGAGGTCCTATGGTGTTTGTCCAGTTTTGATTCCATCAAGCCCGTTTTTCAAACTGATGTATTTTTTCCCATTTTTTAAATAAAATCATTAATCTCTCAAGAGGATATCTGGCTGCATTGGATGAAAACAGAAATTACAGTGCCTTGGCTTGACCTGGGTAATAGCTAGCTTTCAATATCTTGCATTAATAATAAAAACAAGAGGTCTGTTCCTTGTCAGCAATGCCTCTGGGCCAGACACTGTGCTTGGGACTTGACTCCCATGGTGTTATTTCATTTACCCCCACACCCGAGTTCCATCATCCTTCTACCTTACAGCCAGGGAAGCAAAGGCTGACAGTGGGCAAACGCTCTCCCCAAGGAGCTGAATCCGGGACTCAATCTCAAAGTCTGATTCCAAGTCGGTTCTTTTCCAGACTTTGTTGTGTAGAATAACACAGAGATTAGGACTCAAAATTAACAGAATTGCCCATACCTCCCAACCCACTGTAGGAGGGCAAATCCTGGCTTAGTCACCAAATCTCCCTGCTGTCACGAACAGTCACTAACCACACGCCAGCCCATTCTGGTGAATGTTTCCTCTGCTCACACCTCTGGAGAAAGAGGAGCCACCTGAGAGGAAGGATGGTGGAGAGGACCCCTTTCATCTGTGGGAAGGCAAACTGCATAGCTAGTAAGCAGGCATCACCACCCAGCAGAGCTTCTCCAATGGGCGTTTCCGTTACCATTCGCAAAGCAGGGTCAATCCAACCCCCAAACTTAGTTTTTCTAACTTTTGTCTTTTAAACAATTGCAAAATCATTTAACTAATTATATTTTTTGCAAAAACAAACAGACAAACAACCTCCCCTAAATGAATTTTAGCTCAACGTTCCATACAGTTTGTTTGGAAATGGGGAGGACTCGCTTCAATTCGTCATCACGGCATTTCTCTTTCTATTTCCATCTCATGGGATAATGTTAGAAGCAACCAAACCTTTAGGCTCCAAAACACAAGTGGAGTTTTGGAGGAAGGAGTGGCCTTCTTTGAGGGATGAGGGGGCAATAAATGGAGGTCACAGTGCCTGGCATCTCGGAGCCTTGCTTCTACGGACAGGATCTTAAGGTAGCGATGTCTACAATGTGATGTGCCCTAGGATGCAGACAGAGAGGGCCAAGGGTCTACAAATGGACCATTGTTTCACTTAGTCACAAGAAAAGACGTGTTTCCAACTGTGTCTTCACCTCCCTAATCTTGACACGTGATTCAGATGCAGGTGAGCAAAGAGAAGATATCTCTCCCCTTCTGCCGTGACCTCGGGTCAACAGCAAGTGGGGGCTGGCTGGGCAGCAGGCCCAGAGGAGGGAAGGGAGGCTCAGGGAAGGACATCTGCTCAACGTCATAGGTGGACACAGCCCAGGGCACCTGACTTTGGCCACTTTGCTGCCTTGGGAGGAAGTGCGGCATCCGTGGGCAAGGCCAGAGAGGGCTTCATAGTCAGCAACATCTGACATTTTAGCAGGTTTTACAGGATTGATAGGACTTCTCCGGGGCACCAAAGGGGTGAGGCAGTCTAGACAGAGGGACCAGAGCACGAACAAGTGGCCTGGGCGAGCTGGGGCCTGCCTGCCAGCGCCAGGCCTCTAAGGCTCCCCCCACCCCCCCACTCCTAGAAGCAGCTCTGAGCCTCAGTCCTGTCTCCACGCCGACGAGGGGCTGGAGCAGCTGTCCTCTCGGGACCTTCCAGTGCATCCTGCTTCTTGGTGCCAGGCATGTAGAGGCAGCTCGTGGCTCCTTGGCCCTCTGACCCTCCTCCCTAGGCAGCGCCTGGCCTCAGGCAAAGTATCTGAAAGGCTACCAGGAGCCAGGACTTCCTTGGCCCGTTATTCCAAGGTGTCCCAACAGACCTGCCAGGCCTCCAGCTTGCCCTCCATTGACCAGCACACAGTAGGTGCTCAAGAAAGTCAGGCACTGGGAGGTAGGAACTTCCCCACGTAGGAATTTCCCCCAGGCAATTGGCACTGAGGGGAACTGTGGTTCCTGTTGGACATCAAAGGGCGGGCCTTTGGTTGAGGCTGGGCTTGCGCCATGGGAGGGACACGGTCAAGGGCATGGCGATGAGCACAGCCGCTGTCTGCACTCCTATGTTATCCTCTAGTAACTGTTACTTCACGTCAATATAAAGTTTCATTTTCCCAAGTTTGTGTAACTGATTTGGAGAGTCCTGTTTCTTTGAAATAACACTGATATTGGCCCTTATAATCAAGAGGCCATGATGTGGCTAAACCAATAAATTATTATCCCACAGTGACCCAACCTGGTGCTGGGAACAGTGGACCTTCCATGGAAGTTAGTGAATGAGCGGATGAGTGGGAGGGAGGGAGGGTGAGAGGACTTTTCGCATTTGAACTACAAATAGGACCGTCATCAGTAATTGCAGTGATTATTTTTCCATTTTCTGGACATGAGACCCTTTAGCTGCACAAACCTTTAGCCACACTGGGGGTCACATTGAAGTAAACCAACCAAACTATTGAACATCTATGTGGGTGAGGGCCCGCAGAGCTCCAACTCTGAGTACCCTCCAGTCTTTTGGAAATAATGATAATTTTATTTTCAAAATATCTCTCAATTCTTTTCCAATAAAGGCAACAGGAAGCAATGGACTTAGATTTAGACACCAAGTCAGGCTACCACCGGCAAGGAAGGCCAGCCAGTAAGTTCAGGGTCTGTCTGTCCAACTCAGATGTCTACTCAGAACATTTCTACCTCACCCCAACGCACGGTCCCACTTATGTGGGTCTGTCTCCTTGTGCTCTGCGGAACAGGCTTTAAACAATTGTGAAGAACCAGCCTGTCTTTCCATCTGCATTAATCAGACAAAGGTAGAGGTTGTCTAAGATTAAAAGTGTCTAATATCCAAGTTTTATTATCTTCTCCCCTTCTTTGTATTTTGATCTTAGGACTTCAAGGACAGAAAGGAACAAAAGGAGAATCGGGAATTCCAGGTAAAGGGCCGACTCTATTTTAATTTCCTCGCAATGATGACTGGAAAGGGTGAGGCTTGCTTGCTGACTTTGAACGCACTGCTGTGACCTTCCCCCAGGGTGACTGGGGCCGAGACCAGTTGAGGCAAAGACTGCAGGGCTCTGTTACGCAAGCCTCAGATGTTCTCCCTGGGAAACCTGGGCAATGACAGGAACGCAGTGAAGTGAGGGGGTAGGGAGATGGTGGAGGAGGGGGGTGAAGGGTGAAAAGTGCCAGGAGAGAGGGTGGTCAGGTAGTGGCTCAGGCTGTGCAGCCACCATGACGCCTCCAGTGCCCCCCTCATTCTTCTCACTGGACTTTCACACCCTCCTCGCTCTCAAGCCCTTGCTGGGAGTTGTTTGTTGTGCTCGGCACTCGGTTCAGCATCTCTGTCTTCTCAGTGCCCGACCCCAGGGAGCGCCACAGCAGGGCTTCTCAGACACAGCGCTTGGGCAGTCTTCCTCCAAAACTGGACACTCTATTCCTATTTTAACTTACTACGGAGAAAACGAGGCCTAGCAACATTCTAGCAACTTCTCCCGGAATGGCTAGAACTTCCACAGGATGATGTAGTCCACTGAGGACCAACCATTCTGGACTCCCTCAGCAATCTCTCAACCAGCATTTACATGGGAGCCGGGAGATTAGAGCGGCACCCCTCCCCCCATTTGGACCAAAGACACCCCTGAATTTCCCAATAGTCAGTTCAGAGGGGCAACCTGCTGGTTAAGGGCCACTCACTTATTAGGTACCAAGGCTCGGGGCCCCTTGTAAAGCAGGGCAGCACCTCTGACAGATGGTCTTTCTCCTCCAGGCCCCGCAGGCATGAAGGGAGAAAGGGGAAGCCCAGGCCTGGCGGGCCCCAAGGGTGCAACTGGACCAGTTGGCCAAAAGGGAGACCCAGGAATGAAAGGTGAGGAGGCCCTGTTTCTCCTTTGTGGTTTCAAAGGAGAGGCCCTGATGTAGGGGCGTGGAGTTTTCAAAAGCAGAAGGTCAAGGTCTGTGGGTTCAGAGGGTGAGTTCTGAGCTGGGGTTGGCCTCAGCACTGAGCCTGCAGGCTCGCGAACGTGCACCCCCTCCACGCCCAGCCGTGCCTGGCCACCCACACAGCCTGGCCTGACCGCAGCTTCCCGCGAAGGAGATGCATCCCCTCGCTGTCTCTTACCCGTCAAGTGTCCCTCACTAATCTAGCCTAAATCCCTCCTGCTGTGGCTTAGGTCCATTTCTTCATGCTTAACCGTCGAAGCCCATGGAACCTCCTGTCCGCTTAATGCCAGGTCACGGGCAAAGCTGGGACAAGAACCTGACCTCCTCCACACGCTTCCTTCCCCCCCCCCCACCCCCCACTGGCAGAGGAGGGCGAGGGAGTCCTGGCCCGTTTCCTTCAAATCATGTCGTTTTTCTCCTCGTAACAGGATCTTCCGGGCTGCAAGGAATAAAGGGAGAAAAAGGTCAGAAAGGTAATTGCTGTTTTTATTCTCTTTAATTTGTGCTTCAGAGTCAGTTCTGTACTTGAACGTTTATGTGGTCGGGGGAGAGGCCTTGACTCTGAGAGAGATGCCTCATTCTGGGGCAGGTTAATGGGCTTTCCCTTCAATGGCCTGCTCATAGCACAGCCACAGCGCAGCAGCTCCCCCTCCCGCCCTGCCTCCTCCCTCTCTTCCTCTCCTCCCATCTCCCCTCCTGTCTTTTCTCTCTCTCTCTCTTCTTTTCTGTCTTCCTTTTTTTCTCTACTTTTCTTTTTTTCTCCCCACAACACAGGCCAGATGTGGTCGCCTGGATTTGCCAGACCAGCCACAGAGGACCTGACCCTGTGGCCTCGTGGCTGCGGGCCCAGGGCACGGAGGCTGCTAGCCAGGCCATGTTGGTGCCATTGGGGGTCTTCCTGGCCAAGCAGGGCTTTTCCCTCTAACTAGAGACCGTCCTTCATTGAAGAGGTGGAGCCTACACCCACACAAAGCCCCAAGCGGCCGTCCTCACCTCTCACACCTGTGTTTTTCACTCAGGTGAATCCCTGGCAGCTGTCAGGATCGTCGGCTCTTTGAAACGAGGCCGGGCTGAAGTTTTCTATAACGGCGTCTGGGGGACAATTTGCGATGATGGCTGGGACAATTCGGATGCCACCGTCTTTTGTCGCATGCTGGGTTACTCTGTGGGGAAGGCCCTTTTCAGCATGGTCCCTGGTAAGTGGTCCTCCACCGCTGCCTCTTGCCTGGAGGAGCCGGCATGGGCTTTCTCTCCCTTTGGTTGCAAATGACTCCATGTGATTTGGGTTAAAAGAAAAAGATTGGTTCAAGCAACTGAAAAGGTCTACAGCTCAGGGCCCTGGCCTTCTATCCTTGTGGCCTGGCAGACCTGTGACCTTCCTTCCCCTGGCAGACCTGTGACCTTCCTTCCCCTGGCAGACCTGTGACCTTCCTCCCCCTGGCAGACCTGTGACCTTCCTTCCCCTGGCAGACCTGTGACCTTCCTTCCCCTGGCAGACCTGTGACCTTCCTTCCCTGGCAGACCTGTGGCCTTCCTTTCCCTGGCAGACCTGTGACCTTCCTCCCCTGGCACCTGTGACCTTCCTCCCCCTGGTAGTCCTGTGGCCTTCCTTCCCCTGGCAGACCTATGACCTTTCTTCTCCGAGAGTGACAGCAAAGAGTTGAGTCAATGTCTGTCCGCCCTTGAGCGGGAACACACAAGGCTGCAGTGTCTGTGGAGGGCCTTTGAGATGCTGGGGCTTCAGAAGCCGAAAGCATGCCAGGGAGGACGGGCCCAGGCCTCCCTTCCAGCTCCCTGGAGGCGAGAGGTCTGGACTGCCCACACTGTGATCACGTTTAAGGAGAAGGTGGGAAGCAAAAGAGAGCAAATCAGAGCAGGGACTTCCTAAAATCAGTTTGGGGTGTTAGAGACTCAGCCTGTGTCTTTCAGCAAACGGTTCAAACTTTCAATGAAGGAGTAAAACTGAGGCTGACACCGTTTCTTCGGGCGTAAGGGCTGAGCTGGCAGGGGCTCGAGGCCCCTTTCTCCTGCTCCCGCCCCCAACGCTCTCTGCCCTTACCCCACCCCACAGTGCATGCCTGTGTTTTATTCTGAGTCCAGTTGGTTTGTAAGCCATTTCCCTCATATAGATTGCCACACTGTGGTGTAAATTTCTGCAATCAAACATCCAACTGGTTTCCTCTGAGCTCTGGGTCTGAAATCAGCTGTGTCAGAGAAAGGGGTTTGAGGAAGGTGAAGGCTGGGCAGGAACATGGATGCGCTGTAGCAAGTTCGTGGGAAGAGAGGAATGCTGGGAGCCTCCAGGAGGAGATTTCAAATAGTTCATGGATTAGGATTAAATACTTGGATGAGACTTTTGTCAAAAAGGCTAGAAAACAGAACAGAGGCAGAGTCATTAGAAGAGAATAGCCCATGGTGTGGGGCGGGGGCAGGATGGGAGAGGTCAGTGGGGGGTGGGGAAGGGGACATATGTAATACTTTCAATAACATATTTAAACAAACAAGCAAGTAAATAGATAAAATTTTTAAAAATGGCATATTTCTTCCTTAGCGAGAGAGAGAGAGAGAGAGAGAGAGAGAGAATAGTCCAGCGTCACCACCTTGGGCCTGAGTGGGTGTGTGAGAAACTGCAGTCTACCCAAACTGGGACCCCCAGCCACCAGCGGGCCACTCGGCTTCGAGCCTCATCCCACGCCGCTCTCCCTCCTTGTCTCTGTGTCTAGGCTCTGGGTCCATCTGGCTGGATGACGTTGCCTGTCGCGGGACAGAGGCGAGCCTGTGGAACTGCAACAAGAGTAACTGGGGCTCTCACAACTGCAACCACAATGAGGACGCCGGGGTGGAGTGCAGCTGACCTGCAGGCAGCGGCTGCTCTGCCCCACGGTGCCTGCGGGCATAGACATGCACCCGGGAAGGGCGGAGCTCTCTGAGGCTCCCTGAGAGCGGGGTCATTAATAAAATGCAAAGTGCTACCTGGCACTTCATTGGCCTTGGCTGAAATCACTAGTGTGTACCTCCCACCCCTTCTTGATGTGCCACTCAGTGCACACAGCACTGCATCGAGTTCTGACGTGCCCCTGCACACAGGGACCTGGGAGTTTCAGCGTACAGCCAGGGGAGAGTGGGGCGCCAGGGGATCTAAGCGCGATGCAGTCACAGTTAGTCGTGGCCATCCCTTCAATCACTCAGATGTGGTATCTCTCCTAGCAAGTGAGTGCTCCCTCCAGCACTGGAACTATTCTCCAGCAAATGAAGAGGTTGGCATGTAATTGGCATCATGCTGCATGATCAATAGGAACTGTACCTTTAAGCATGAAAATCATCTCTCATTAGGATGTGAACTCCAGCAATGCAGGGACTTTTGTCTGCTGTAGCCATCCCCTAGGGCTCAGTAAATATTTGCTCAATGAACAACTGAATTAAACCAAGAAGGTAGAGCAATTCACCCTCTATGAGAAATTTGGCTCCTGACTCCCTTTTCATTCTTTCCCCTGGGATATATATATACTCTCTCTGAGTGCAATCACATTCCCTTCCTCCCTCCCCCCCTCTCTCTTTCTCTCTCTCACACATTGTCAGAGGGACAAAAGCAGTTTATAAGCACAGAACAGTCAAAATCCTTGCATGGCATGGACTGTCCGTGCCACATGGCAGGGCTGTGGCTCAGCCATGCCCAACACTTCCCTTCCAGGGCATTGGTTTTTATCTCTGAGCTGCTGATGAGGTGCAGGTCTGTCTCCTGAGCTCCAGTCATATATATCTGCCTAGCGACCGCCTCTACACGGGACCTCACAGGCCAGGAAGTTGGATGCTGACTCATCATCTGCGCCTCCTCTGTTCCCATCTCAGCCAGTGGCTCCCTCCATCCAGAGCCCAGGACAAACACTGTCAAAAGCCATGCCTGCCCTCTGTTACCCGCTCATCCACCAGGCACCAAGTCCCCCTAACTCTACCTCCCAAATACCTCTCCAGCCCACCCACTTCTCCCCGCTTTGCCATCACAATGGTCTTGGAGATACTTGCAGCATCTCCTAACTAGACTCTCCCCTCTCGCATGCTCCAACAACCACCCATTCTTCCCCACACAGCAGCCTGAAAGACCTTCAGAAATGGCAAAGCTAACCATGCCAGTCCCTGCCTGAAGCCTTCAATGGCTCCCAGTCCCTTAGGCAGTGGGCCAGATGCGTGACTGTGGCTTACAAGGAAGTGACCCTGTGATCTCACACAGTCCCCCAGCAACCTTAATGTTTCATCCTCTCTATTCCAGCTGGCCCTGTGTTCATGCAGCTTCTCCGACTCCACGTCCTTTGCCTGTTACTCCAGCTGACCCCTGAGCAAAGCCCTTGCCCTTGAATCCTCGCTCGCTCAGCTCCCTGCCTGCGAGGCTGAGCCCGCTCCCTTGTCACTCCCTTTGTATGCTTCTTCTTGGCCCGCAGACCCTGTCTCTCTAGGACCTGGGAGTGTAGTCACCTTTGTTCCCCGCACCTCTCCTGTGCCCACTCTTGTGGCCGCACCGGACTGACCATCCCCCAAAGAACACAGAGCACTAGAGCATCACGTGATACAAGTGAATCATCGCTTCTTTAAATTAGCAAACTGCCGCACAGAGAGGGTAAGCAATGTGGTCTGTTGGCTTCAACTCACAGCCTCTGTCCACTTACCCTGTGACTTTGCAGCTCTTCTCATCAGGAGCCAGGTCTGTTGCTCCTTCACTCTCTCTCTAGGAATTCCTGCTGCATTATAGCAACAACCCAGGTCCGCCTCCAGAGGATGCGTGGGCACGTAGAGCAGGGGAGGTGCGCCCCCGAGGCCCTGCTTCATCAGCTGAGACGGCTCAAGCCAGGCCCGTATCAGAAGGACCACTGGCCAACCAACCCATCAATTCATGAGCAATCGCACATGGTTGTGGCTTAAAGCCACTAGGCTTTGGGATGGTCTGTCACATAGTAATAACCACCGGATAGGGTTACCCTGAAGACACCAGCTGGTAAGAGCAGAGGGGGATTCGAACCCAGGTCTGTCTGACACAAGTAAGATTAAGAGATAAAGGAGAGTTGCTGCCACCTGCCCCTCTGTCAGGCAGTTCCTCTGAGCAGCTCCTAGGCCGAGCGAAGCTGAGGAAGCTCCCCTTGCACACACAGGGGCCGCAGCGCCTGGCCGCAATGTGGGCACGCTGGCTCTGGGGCCGGCCGCCTGGAGGCTGATGTGGGCTGAAGAGGAACTGGGTGAAATTAGCACGACAGCATCCTCAACTGCTAGGGAGCAGTGCCTCTAACTGCAGGGCATGGCCTCCTGACCTCTGCGTGACACTTGGCTGTGATGTCTACTTGAAATAATTCTCCTTTCTCCTTTCCCCTCCTGGGACAGTATGACCTGGCTGAAGCCTGTGGACAGATACTAGCACCGAACAAACTAGCTGGGCAGGACAGGGATGGCCCCTAAAGGACCCTCTGTGCACAAGCCCCAGCCCGCCCCCGCCCCCTGCCCAGAGAGTTTGCCAGCATCCAGCTGTAGAGACACAGCTGAGAATGACGGTTCTGGGCTAGGATCCCGGTGCTATCACGTAACAGGTCTTTACCTGGACAACCAAGTTACTGAACCTCTCTGGGCCCAGTTTTCCAGTCTTAACATAAAAATAACAGTTCTCTCCTCTCAGAGTTCTTGTGAGGAGTAATTAAAACGAGAAGCAAGAGGGAGCATTTGAAATGGTGCCTGGCACATAGTAAAGACTCAGTGTTAGTTACTATGATTCTTCAAGATCCTTCACAGTCCACCCCTCACCCCAGCACTGCCCCCTAAGCCCTTTGTACTGAGTAGACAAGTCTCAGGGCTCTCCCATCAGGTCTAGGACTGGGGTGGGATGATGAGGATGGTGAGTCTGTGGGTCCTCCAGAGGCTGGCACACAGGGAGTTGGGAGCGGGAGAGGTTTGTTGGAGGCAACGTCTGTGAAAACGTGGAAGGACAGGAATGGGCAGGACAGCCTTAGAGCAACATGCAAACATGACCCAGTCTCAGCCAACTCTGCAGGGAGTTCCGGAGCAGAGAGGAATAGCCAGGCTCTCCTGCAACCCTGCTCAGTCCCTGCCGGGAGGGGGGGCTGCCCCGGAAGTGCATGGCCTTGACCGGAAGTGGAGGTGGCCCCTGAAGGTGTGCAAGGAGGCAGGCAGCTCCCCCCTTCTGTGGCTGAACTGCAGTTCCCTCTGGAATCCAGAGACTCAGAAGTACCCCATGGCTGCGAGAGATGGTTTGCTGAAAAGAGGGTGGTGACCAAGTCTGTGGCTTTAGGGAAGTCACATAACCTCTCTAGTTTCTGCTTCCCCGTTGTACAGCGGAAATAGCAATGATGATAAAAATAAAATGTTCTTTATGTGGATAACTGCTGTGCTCTTGGCACCCACTGGGGACTGGAGAGCAGTCACATTCATTAGAGCAGCTGTGACTCCAAGCCTTGGCCTAAGCCTTGTCCGCAAACCCAGAATATCTTCCCTTTTCTATCCACCACTCCCAAACTGCTCCTCTCCCTCAGAGAAATCTTCCCTTTCTCTCCACCCTGTAGCTCTTCCATGTAAGGAAGGAAACATCACTGCAAATCTGTTTGGAGGGCTTACTGTGCAGGATGCCCATGCTGCATGCATGATATTTTTGTGCTGGTTGTCCATCATCTCATTTATTCTTCACAGCAACATTGACAGAAAGGCTCCATTATTATCTCCCTTTTACAGCTGAGAAACTGAGGGTGGGAGAAACAAAACGAGTTTCCTTGGGTCATTATAACTCATCTCCAGGTTTTCTAGTTCTGAATACTTTTTCGTTTGCACCCTGATGGACTCAGGAAGCATTCAGAAAACATGTCTTGTTGCAACATAGGAATCTGCATTATTAAAATAGTACACAAACAGGGTTGTTTTAAGTCTGTGGGGCCGAGGAGGGGATCAGAACTCAAGGAGTGCGTTCATTCAAACCCTTTCAGTTCCCCTCTGTGACAGGGTAATCAGAGGTGAATAAGGTCAAGTGCCAGGAATATAAACCACCAGTTCACAGAAGAGAAACCATGGGCCAGTAAATATATTTAAAGATGTTCTTCCTCACTTATAACAACAGAATTGCAAAAAACCTAGATCATTTATTTGCATGTCAGATTGGCAATTTAAAACAATCCTTGGTATTGGACAGATGGGGGAAACAAACTGTTACCCACTGTGAATAGAAATATAGATGGATTTCCTGGGGGCAAGAGGGATTTGGCAAGATGTGACCTAAGCTTTTTGAAATAGAAAAAGAAGCTACAGTTGACCCTTGAACGACATGAATTTGAAGTGCACGGGGCCACTTATATGTAAATTTTTTTCAAAAGTACAGGGTGTCCCCCCAAAATCTCTACACACTTTAACAGCTGATAGCTCAATTTTGAAAATGAAATGTATTTTAATAAACACTGCCTTTATAATTATTCAAAGTATGTGTATACATTTTTGAGACACTCTATATTTTCTCTTCCTCATGATTTTCTTGATAACATTTTACTTTTCCTAGCTTACTGTATTGTAAGAATACAGTATATAATACACATAACATACCAAATAGGGGTATTCAACTGTTTATGTTATCAGTAAGGCTTCCAGTCAACAATAGGCTATTAGTAAAGTTTTTGAGGGAGTCCAAAGTTACACTTGGATTGTTGGTGAAGGATCAACTATAAATGCATACTGTATTGATTAGTTACTGCTATGTAACAAATCACACCAAGACTTGGTAGGCTGCAGTTATTTGTGCTCATTTGTGTATCTGCCAGTCGGCTAGAGATGGGCTGCTCTGGGCTGGGCTCAACCAGGCAGCTCTGCTTCAAGCTGCAGGTCCAGCTGGGTTAGGCTCTTCCTGCAGGTCAGGCTCAGGCTGGTCCACCTGTGTTCCCTCCAGAACCTGCCTCCTGGTGAAGGCAGCAGGACGAAAGGGTAAGCGAGAACACATGATGCCTCTTAAGGCCTATG